TAAAAACAGATAAAAAGTTTAACCATCTCCTCTTTATAGGGAAGCACCACAATTAATATGAGCCACAGTAGTCATCAATGTATTTGCTAACAATAACAATGGTGATCTTATTTTGCATCTCTTTTTTGTTATCCTCACTTCAACAATACAAATAATATTGTAAGAGAGAGAGTATAAGACAGCTCCTCAGGTGAGCAAAATCCCTGTCATTCCATTGAAATATCAGTGGTAGAGTCGATCTGCAGTCAATCTTTCTAGCATCACAAAACCATGGTTCCCTCCCCATCAGACTTGACATATCAAAGTTGTATTTTTGTTTCTTCTTCACTTATATTTACTATCATAAGAAACCTGTAGCCTGAATTGAAATTTTCTCTTGGGTTAATCATCAGAGTGGACAGATTGGAAAAAAAAACCAAATGTGAGTAGAATAAAATACACAAAAAATATGTAATGTAGTAGGTAGAATGTCAGACTTGGACTGCTCAGCCATGGAAACTCATGGGGGTGGCAGTAATAAACAATTCCTTGAAATTCTTAAAAACCTGCACTAGGGTCACTATTATTTGGGAATGGCAGCTCATAACAACAACATTGAATACATAATAGCTCTGGACCTCTGCATGAATTGTCCACTGTGAGAGGCTACTAAGATGCAGAAGTGATTAAGGGTTTCAAAAGACCCATTTCATTATTTAGTTGTGCTTTTCTTGAGGATATCATTCCTATATGCCTACGGTTGTACTCTGGACTTCCAGATACTAGACCCTTTTGGAAACCTGACTGTGTGTCCATTACTTAAAATTATAGATTTAACAAGTGAGTCGCAACTCGCTGTCAAATCCAACTTAAGTTACACCAGCAACTTGACTTGGGCCTAACTTAGGGGTTTCAGGGGTTGGACTTGCAACTCGATCCACAACTCAGACCCAAGTCATGTTGTTGACTCCCTAGGGGCTACTCTACCTGCCCCCTGCTCTCGCTAAAGGCAGCAGGCCCAGCTTCCAGCTGCTGCCTCTGCCCATGCACTCACCACCCAGCTGATAGGCAGAAGCAAGGGCTGGCTCCAGGAAGGGAAGGGAAGGTGGGCCTGCTGTCTTTGAGGAAGATGGTGGCAGCAGCAGTGGTAGGTGGTGGCAGGTAGGGAGGCCCACTGTTTCTGTCCATGCCCCAGCCTATGTGGCACATATACAGTCCGAGTCCTTGGGTCCAGGTCCCAAGTCTGAAGTCTCAGGTGTGTGTGTGTGTGTGTGTGTCAGGAGGGGGACTAATGACTCAGACTTGAGGCTTGGGACTCAGGACTCAGACCCAAAGACTCAGACTTGGGACTTGGGCCTGAAGACTCAGACTTGGTGTTGTTGTTGTTGTTTAGTCGTTAAGTCGTGTCCAACTCTGTGTGACCCCATGGACCAGAGCATGCCTGGCCCTCCTGTCTTCCACTGTCTCCCAGAGTTTGGTGAAATACATGTTGGTAGCTTCAGTGACACTGTCCAACTATATCGCCTTCTATCGTCCCCTTCTCCTCTTGCCTTCACACTTTCCCAACATCAGGGTCGTTTCCGGGGAGTCTTCTCTTCTCATGAGATGGCCAAAGTATTGGAGCCTCAGCTTCAGGATCTGTCCTTCTAGTGAGCACTCAGGGTTGATTTCTTCCAAAATTGATAGGTTTGTTCTCTTTGCAGTTCAGGGGACTCTCAAGAGCCTCCTCCAGTACTACAATTCAAAAGCATCAATTCTTCGGCAGTCAGCTTTCTTTATGGTCCAGCTCTCACTTCCATCAGACTTGGTGTAGAGTGCACTAACATAACTATGATGTAGCTTGTTCTTCTCTCCACTTGCATAGAAGAACATGAAAGAAGCCTCCCTGAAAAATATGAATGCAACTTGGTGTCCTCTGGGCAGGACTCACTTGACTGATCTTTCCACTCCAGAAGTACCAAAATGCAGCAACTCACTGTAGGAATACTATTGGACAACTGATTATCTTGGCGTGTATCAGGCCAATTAACCAACACATCTAGGGGCTGAGCTAGACATCTCCTCCTTCCCTCTCTCATTTGCAGACATAAGGGTAGTTTGTTCCATTAATTATGGGAAAAAATCCAAACTCTGTTAGCAATTCACAGTTTGGTGGGTACAGAATGTGTTCATATAACTTGATGTCCTGTGTCAGTGTAGTGGAGAAAGATGTTTCTGTCCAACCAATTACCATTCTCTGTGACCTTTGAAGAGTAAGTTTCCCATTTATATTTTCTCAGGACTAAACAATAGATCCATTTGACCCAAAGACTAGGGAGGGAATGGATCTAGTCAGTGAGACAACCAAGAAAATGAAATTATGTAAGCAGAAACAGGAAGTGTTGCATACAGGAAAGAAGAACCTTTCACTTAGAATTGTAAGTTATTTGGGAACATCAACCTATCTTTTTACATATGAAACTCTGAAATACTTTGTGTATTAAAGAGACTTACAGTACATAAAAAACGAAGATGGAGATCATAAATAAACAGGCAGCACTTCTAAGGGACATGTGAAGGTTATATTGGATAACTAACTCAGCAGTGTGATACTGTGGCAAGAAAGGGTAATGTCCTTTCAAGTTGCATTAAGAGCAGTATCATTCCCAAGACTCATGAAACAATAGTACTACCCTGTTCAGCCCAGAGATTAGATCTCATTTAAGTACTGTGCCACTTCTGATCAGTGCAAGATAAATTGGAAACAATTCAGAGGAGAACTATAATGATGATAAGGTTCAAGGGGAGAGGGAGCAAATAACACAAAGACCTAATTCTCACTGAGAAGACTGTGTATCAGGAAGTCTAACCTAACCTTCTCCATGAAATATAATTTTCGATACATAGGAATTTGATATAGGTGATATAGACGTAGATATGGATATATGAAGGAGAATCCATTCATTAGTTCAGACATACAATCTGGAGTGGTACAACCTGATCATAAGTTTAGAATTAGACCAAAGAACATTTAAAATAATATAATGTGTTAAACTCAGATAGAAAACAGATTAAGAGGAATGTGATAGCAACCATAAATATTTAAAGGGATCTGAGAAAAGAGGAGAAACAACACTTCACTAGCCAACTGAATACTTCAGTGAAATAAAAAAACAGATCCTAATCTTATGAATGAAGTTATGAGTGGAATCTGAGGGGTGGCTGAAACTTTGGCTTAGTTCATACATATATTTTTTTTAAAAAATGGGGTTCTTGGTAGAGGCACAGGTCAGTGGGAGTTGTGTGGGGATGTTTTTAGCTTTAAATAGTGCCCTTTTAATTATATAAACTGTCTCAGGTCCCTTTAAGGAGAAAGGCAGGTTAAAAATACTTCAAATAAATAAATAAAACTACCCGGAATACATCAGCATCTCTGAATAAGGGTTGCTGCTACTCTGGAAAACAGAACATTTTTAGAAGAAGAATAGAGTTATATCTATTTACCAAAATACTTTGTAAATTAAAGTTGTGGTCCTGCTGTTGTGCAGCGGCTTGGGAGGTTGCTGCAATTAACCAAGCTGGAGACATCCCTCTAGTTTGGGTTTATGCAGCCTTTCATGTACAGTATGTATGTTTAGGGATAACCAGAATAGCAGCTACCCTTCCCCCTTTTCTCTTGCTCCCAGAATTTTTAGGGCCTTGCATGTGCCAGGCACTGCCCCCTAGAAGATCTAAGCCAGCCCCTGGTCTCCATCAATTCCGCAAGGTATCACCATAACTCACTCAGGCAAATGTGTACTTTGCATAAGATTGTCTGTCATCCTTTACCTAATTAATTTCTTAGCAGCATAAATGTCTCTGTTTTGTTAGAAGCACCACAATACAGTTATTAATATATCAGAAATTTTTTGCCCAGTAACTGGCAACATCAAGAGCATTTGGGGCACAGAAGCACCACAATACAGTTAGAAATATATCAGAATTTTTTTGCCCAGTAACTGGCATCATCAAGAGCATTTAGGGCAGCTAACACAAATTTTTCCATAGTACATGTTGAGGAGCTTAGAGTACACTGACAGATGTGAAGCACCCAGAAAGAGCTGTGATAGTATGAAAAGCCCAGATTCTTAGGTTTTCTTTGGTTCTGCCAATTCCGGTCTATAGCCTATCAAGTGTCTTCCAAGTAACCCTGTTCTCCGTGTGACTTGGAGCAAGACTTTCCAGGGATTCCATTCATTTTAAAAAGTGTATACAGTAGTTCTTTCTTTCCACATTACACTCCTGGCATTCTTTGTTTTTCCTTCAAGATCCACAGATGTTCTGAAAAAACTTCTCTCTAGTTTTAATCTGGGAGGGGCAGGATGGTAGTCAAAGAATGGGTGTACCTTTGATGTAGCTGCTGTAGATTTTTCACCATTAGCATCTGCTTCTTTCTATATGCCTCTAAATGCACTCACTTGCATTCAGAATGCAAACATGTTATTTCCCTATAGAGGGGTCATTGTGTATATTTTTTCTGAAGTATTAAATCAGTATTTCTTGAGAAATAGAAACAATACAAGAATGAATTACTAAAACTAATCTGTGAAAGTGTACGAATTCCAAAACTCAAATTATCTTTATACACAAGTATCTCAGAATCTGCATTATTTTTACCAATGTCTAGAGAAGGCACTAATGAAGAGACTTTCCCAAGGTGTAAATAGGTTGTGGTGTTCTTGTAAACTTCTCTGGATATGATATTTGCTGCTTCATATCCAGTTTCTCAACAGTAAAAGGTATTTTCAGTACTAGATGCTGAATGTAACTTGATAGAATACTGTTGGAACTGTTAGATATGTTGGTGTAGAAAAGAAAGAGAGTTGAGGCCAATTCTGAAACACAAAAGGCCTGAAGATGTAGTCTACCACAAACTAGACTACATTCTTTCACCCAATCTAGAGGAGGCAGATTGATAGATTGATTCAATTCTTCTCTATACAAGCTTTTTTTGTTGTTGTTGTTGAATATGGCTCTCAGATTTTATTATCTTCCTCTTTTAGGAATGTACAAATCAATGCTGTAATGCTACTACCTGCACTTTAAGACCAGGAGCAGTGTGTGCCCATGGACTTTGCTGTGAAGATTGCAAGGTGAATTTTCCTCATTTTTGTAAGGCAGGATTCCATCATCATCTTGATGTCTGTTCAGATCTTCAGAACTATTCTGCATTTTCAGTGGGAGCTGAAGACGTCACCCACACTGACCTAGAATTATAGTTCTGAGAATTTTCCAACACCTTTAAAAATAATACATTATTAAATACAGAATGTCTTGTCTTGTAAAAAAGCATGCATTTTTATTTTGTGCATATATTGATAGTATTGAAAGAACAAATCTTAAAAGTTTATGTCCACTTAAATAATTCCACCACTGCAGAGTCATTTCACATTTAGGTTATGTGCTTCCATGTGTGCTGCGGATCAGAGGCTTGTGCTAGCATCTTAAATGAGGAATGAAGGAGACCCTTTGGAAATGTGTTATAAACAAGAGTTCAGTATATCAAAGAGATGCATATAAAGTGCTGTGTCACTTTTATACTGTGCTTAATGGCCACCTGGTGCAGAGTCTCAGGGAGGACGAAACATTAGCCTGTAGCATAAATTTCACTGTGTGGTACCTGATTGGAATTACTACAGCCTCCTTCTTCCCCCTCCCCCTTGCAGCTGAAGCCAGCAGGGATCTTATGCAGGCACTCCAGTAATTCCTGTGACCTTCCTGAATTCTGCACTGGCAGCAGCCCTCACTGCCCAGCCAATGTGTATCTGCATGACGGGCATTCTTGCTACAGGATAGATGGATACTGCTATAATGGCATGTGCCAAACCCATGAACAGCAATGCATCACACTCTGGGGGCAAGGTGAGCTTCCACATCTGATTGCTATTCCTTTCTCTAGGTATTTATTCCTATCTGCAAACAACTGTTTTGTCCTATTTAGATACAAGGGAGATTTTGAGACAGCATGTGCTTCTGACTCTGTTACTTCTACATTTTCTACTTCACACAACTCATTACTGCAGGGTTAATCTACATTTTCTCCTTCACACAACTCATTACTGCAGGGTTAATCTTCTGTGTTGCACTTTGTTGTTTCCACACACACAACCTTTTCTCACCAGCAATCAGTACCCGTCAGACACGGCTGCAGACTGTTGCGATAGAAGAACGTAAATGTTGAAGCCCATACATTTGCCTATGGCTGTTGTTTCCACACACAAAACCTTTTCTCACCAGCAATCAGTACCCCTGTTGCAATAGAAGAACGCAAATGTTGAAGCCCATACATTTGCCTATGGAATAGAGGTAAGACCCCTTGCGTTTTTAGATAATAACCATATCCCCCAGTGCAGCTGATAGCTAGGTTGCAGGCGTGGCCTAAGCTTTACAGACACTACCAGTATCTTTGTAGCCATGCAGCTGCTCATTGCTGTTTTACTTCCCCTTGCTATACCTCAGCATCCAACTGTGTGATAAAAGTACTGCCTGTCCCATGCGAAAGTACAGTCATGCCCCGCTTAACAATTACCCTGCATTACGATGAATCTGCTTCATGATGATGTTTTTGCGATCGCAATTGCGATCGCAAAACGATGGTCTAAATGGGTTTTTTTCGCTTTGCGAAGATCAGTTCCCTGCTTTGGGAACCGATTCTTCGCATTACGACGATCAAAACAGCTGATCATCGGGTTTTTAAAATGGCCACCGGGTGCTCAAAATGGCTCCCCGCTGTGCTTAGGGATGGATTGCTCGCTATATAGGCACCGGAAATGGCTGCCGTATGGAGGATCTTTGCTGGACGGTGAGTTTTTAGCCCATTGGAATGCATTAACCAGGGTTTAATGTGTTTCAATGGATTTTTTAATTTCTCTTTACGACGTTTTCGCTCTACAACGATTTCGCTGGAACAAATTAACATCGTTAAGCAAGGCACCACTGTATTCCAGCAGCTTCCCTTAACTGGCACTTCTTTATATAGAGGACAAGCAAGAAGAACCCATTGGAGCAAGCAAGTGAGCAGGAATGTGAAGGGCAGGGTATGGGCAAGGGGAGACATGGAGGGAGCAGTGGAGGGTGTTTCTGGCATCCTAGCATTAACTCTGCCTAATGTTAGGGCCAGCATTGCCAACGTCAGGGTCTCAGAAATATCAATGGTGTGGCTTAATGCATGTCATCAATACCAAATGAGTAGGTGTTATATTGCCACATTAATGCTAAGATCATGGCTCTACTCTATAATTCAGAACTTTGCAGATGCTTAAATCTAAGACAGGATCTAGTAGCCTCCTTCCAGACAAAGCTATTGGCCCTCTCTGAAACTATGTGCACTGGGGACATAGGAATCCTTTCAGGAATAAAAGTGGCTGCCTCTTGCCTCAGTTTACTTAACTGTAAAATGCAAATGCTAACCCACCTCTCTGAAGTAATTACTATAATGTTTGCTTAAGCACTTAGGGATTTCTGGGACGAAAGCCATTGTGTAAGTGCATAGCATTAGTTAGGCAAACATAACTCACGGCTGTTGCTGAATTAGAAAGAAAATGTGCCATGAATTGTATATCCATCAGTACTGAGAATTCACTTGGACAGTTACCTGGTTTTAGCTGACATTACATCCTAATCAAGGACAGCAAACATTGCATTGGAACATGGGTTAGAGTTAACTGGAAGACCTAACCTGTGGCTTGGCAGCAACAAAGAAAATATCCTTCTTCACTGCTATTTTGTTGGTACAGAGCTGTCCAGTGAAGCCGTTCCAAATGCTCAAGGCATTATTATACATTTGCCCTTGAGAACAGAATGTTGACCACATAGTAGACTCCTATGAAGAATTTGCACAGCACTTTGCAGACAAAGTTGCATGATCAACTCTGGCTTGAATGGTATAGTTGTGGATGTAACTTTGTCTCCTGGCTTCTCCATTGAGAATGGATAAGTTCAAGCGGGTAGAAGAGAATAACGTATGCCTCTTTGGAAGGCAGAGTTCCAGCATGTCTAAAGGAGGCATTAATATGAACAACATTAGAAAAGCCCTCCATGAAGCCCACTGTCCTGAACAATTTCTAGCCAGTATCCAATGTCCCATTTTGGATAATGAATGGGAACATGTGGCAGCTTTTCAGCTCCAGGGTTTCCTGGATAAAACAGATTATCTAGGTGCATTTCAGTTTGGCTTCAATGCCTCATTATGGAACAGAGACAGTGTTGATCACCTTGGTAGATGGTATATGCTAGGAAGATGGTATATGCTTTACCCCGCTGTTCTGGGGTGTGTACCTGTTGGTTCTGCTGGACATAATTTATTATTTAATTTATTTATTTAAAATATTTTTACCCCGCTGTTCTCCTTGAAAGGACCCCAGGCAGCTTTCAGTGGCTTTTTATACACTCAACCATAGTATCCTTACAGGCTGTCTCGCTGGGATTGTCTTGAAGGCACTGTCCTAGAGGAGTGAGTGCAGAAGACAGTGCTTAAGGACTTCTGTTTGACCCCTTGGCCATTGGCGTATGAGACTCATCAGGATTTTGTTCTGTCTCCCATGATATTAAATATGATATTCAACATATACATGAAATGATACATGGAGAGATTTCTGGAGTGTAAGGGTTTGGTGCCAACAGTATACTAATGATACCAAACTCTACTTCATTCTATCTAATTTGAAGAAAGCTGTTTTAGTTCTAAACCAGTATTCAGTGTTAGTAACGGATCAAAGTATCAGCACTTAGTCCATATAAGACAGAGATCCACCCCATCTTCCATGTATATAATTACTAAGCTATATTACCCACATATATCACTGCTTGTACCCACTATCCAAGTTTGATTCTTCTTCCTCCACTCCTGAGTGATAATCTCTGGCTGAAGCAGTCTCTTCCAGTTTTCAAAAATCCTGTACCAAGACTTTCTTCTATGGAAAAGTAGACTTTAAATAGCAAATTGCATGCACACACACAGCAGGAAGCTTAAGAGTTTCCAAGCTTTTAAGGGAAGATAAACATGAGCCTTGGACCCACAAAAGTTGCCCAACCTGCTCCATTGAGTAAATAACTTTCACCCATTGATTCTTTAAATTCTGCAACCCTAAAATTCCATTATAGTTTCAACTGCTTTAACAGTTTTTAAAGGATTAATCCACTTAAAAGACTCAGAAGGTCAGCATCCTGTTACTTCCATTCTTTCTACATTTTTCCTTTCCTTGATGCCTTACATTTTCCAGGTAGCATTTGCAACTCCAAGGGAGCTCTGAGGCAGTTTCCTTGTTTTTCATAGGAGACACATGTGGACAGAAACATCTATGGAGATACAGAAATCTCCTCTATTGCTTTCTGGTTTGGGGTTCCATCTCCCAGAATTCTGCCTGGAGAGTTTTGGGCAAATTTGGGGGGAATAACAGCTGAAAAAATCCAAAAGTCCCATCCCTAGTTAATAACAGCTGCAGGGGATGCTTCAGATCAGGATTACATTTCCCTACATTGCCATTTTCTTGCACCATATTATTTGCCCTGCACAACAAACATGTAATTGTTGCCAGAAAGAGGTTGCTTTTAAATTAGAAAATGCCAGTAGAAGGACTTATACAGATGTTCTGTCATTTGGTGCCACTGATCTGGTCAAAATTGGTAGCTCTGCTGCTTTTGTGAAAAATGCTTTTAAAATGCCGCCTTCATAATGAGAGATATCCTATTCATAGATCTCCTGTGTCATCTTTAGTTTGGCTCCCAGCTATATTGCTTAGGAGTGGAAGGCAAGCACAGAATGGAAGATTCTGATATTCATGAGAAGGCAGTAAAATTCCTCAGTGCACAATGATGTCATGGCAATAGGAGGAATTGCAATGTTTGTTCATGGCCCCAAATTTTGAGGAAATATCAGTTCTTTCATACTGTCACACACCAGAGGATTTATTCCTCACTCTATTACATATGACTCTTAAATCGTGTTATTCGATAAAACAATGTTTATTTAAGTGTTTATAAGTAAATCATATAAAGTAAATCATGGATGGTCTTATTTGTGTTTGATAACATTTATATTTGCTTTTGTATAATCATGTTGATCAAGGTTTTTATTCATTTCTTATCTTGTTCTCTATCTCTCTATTCTTCTTTAACACAAGGCTGGTCCTAATTGCCTAAACTGCTTCTCTCTAACTGATATCCTTAACTGAAGTTCCTAACTCTAACTTCTAACCTCTAACCGATCTTTAACTGTCTTCCATTCTTCTTATATTTTCTTAGTTCCGCCTCTTCTGTTCACCCATTGGTTGTTAAATCAGGGTTCCATTGTGATGGACAGGAGTGGTTACTGACCTGTCTGTCACACATACCAAAAGAAAAGCAGCAATTAATAAGGGAGTATGTAAATTTCTATGACTTATTAAAGGGATTTCAAAGGTGCATGTCTAATCCTAAATCAAGAGCTTCAGGAGAGGGGGGATGCTGTGAAGAATATAGAATATATCAGCAAGCTGTTATAAAGGGCAGAGAATATTGATCCAGGTGTTGTTTAATAAACTCATGCATTTTACTGGAATAATGTTTAGCAAACTTCTCTTCAGGACAGAGAGTGGTAACGTTCTGTGTATACAAGAAAGTTCTCTCTCTCCATTTGTAATGTATACTTTCTTTTAATTAAACAGAAAAAAACATGGGTGGTTTGTTTTTTTGGTAAAATCGCATTGTGTTAGATGCAAGTATTATTTGGCTCAGGCTTCTATGGACTTCAGCTCACTTCTCCAGATACACTGTAGGCATTTGAAATGGGCTGAAGTCTATGAAAGTGAGACTTCAAAGTGCCACAAAAAATGTTGTTTTGCTCCAACAGAATAATATGCCATCCATCTGGCAAACTGCTGTAA